ACCTCAGCGCCTTAGAAAACTAATAAATAAACTCTGACTTTGAAGACAGTTTTATGTAATTCCTCTCCATCATTGTTTTCCCGTTTTAGTTTAATTTACTAACTGATTATGTGGCCATAATCCTCGGAGCCTTTGATGGTTGTATTATTTATAATGGATGGCTACAGCATTTTCATAATGAATCTTTAATTGCAGTACTTGAGTAGGATTTCACAAGGAAAATGATTTACAAATTAAACCCAGAGCTCACCTAGGGTAATCATCACAGGTCTGACTAATATGCATGAAACTCTCGAGTGGCAGGGGACTCGCTCCAATGACAATATGTTGATTTTCTAATTAGCAAAGGTTAAGTAGCATTTTTGCTTGAAGACCTGTGATTTAAACATATGACATCTGTCACCAAGAAAGGCTTCTATAGAGCACAGACATTGAATCTCAAGTAATTTCCACTGGTCCTACTGTGTCAACACCTTCTGCTAATATATAATGACCGTCCTCAGGACGAAAGTTTTTCTCCAGATCAGCTACATCAGTAAACGTACTTTGCAACTCAGTGACCCATTTAAATAAATCAGGGACCACCTAAGTGAGAAGAGCCAATTTATGTAGTTTTCCTTTATAGAGAGACAAATGGCATTCCACTCACCTGCTTAATACATTAAGAAGACAGAATACAAAGCTTTATTTAATGAATTCAGTCAATACAGCTGAGACTACAGTCTTCTGTTGTGGCCAGTTAAGAGGAGGAGGGAGAAAGGGGAGAGGGCGGCAGGCGGCAGTGCAGGAAAGGAAGAGAGAAGAGGTTTCAGGACAGATGGAGAGGTATTTGCTGTTTGGAGTTCCTAGATGGTGCAAATGGTTAATGCGCTCGGCCGCTAACCGAAAGGTGGGAGGTTTCAGGCAACCAAGAGGCGCCTTGGAAGAAAGTCCTGGCAATCTATTTCTGAAAAATCAGCCATTGAAAATTCGCCGGAGTACAGTGCTACTCTGATGCACATGAGGTCACCATGAGTCAGAGGTGACTGGATGGCAACTGGCCTTGTGTTTACTGACATAGAGGGGAGACAAATAAGTAGAAGGGGAGATTGTAAATGGGCCACAGTAACTCAGAGCTGAAGGGACCAGAGGCTCCCCCAGTTCAGCCTTCCAGGTTATAGATGGAAAAGGGGCCCTGAGGGGACAAAAGGTGTGATGGACGCCACACAGGTGACTAAACACAGTCAACATCCTGATAGGGAGAGAGACCCAAACTCAAAGGCAGAACGGAGGTAGATGGTTGCAGACCCAAGGAGAGACACAAGATCAGAGAGAGTCAAAGGCAGAGAGGCAGAAAGACAGAAAAAGCTTCCCCCTTTATCCTCTTGTAGGATGAGGCCAGTATACATAAATAATTAAATGTACATACATTAATCTAAATTTTTGCCTTAATGATATAATAAAAACATGGTTTGGTCTGGATTTATTTGCTCTGCCAACTGGCTCTTTTTAACTATCCATCTTTTGTTATATTAACATTTACTTGAGTCTTAAAAAGTCTCTTCTTCAAACTCTCAACTATGGATGAGGATCCATGAAATGTGAATTATTTCAAAGTTAAAACACACTCCAGATAGATTAAAGATTAAAATGTTCATAGAGTAAAACCATAAAAGTACTAGAAGAAAATACTATTGAATAATTATATTATTTTGGATGAGGAGAGGTCTTTGTAAGTATCATCCTAAAGGCAGAAATCATATAAATAAAACCGATGTTTGTGACAATAGAAATATCTAAAACTTTTATATAGAAAAAAATACCATATACGAGTAAAAAAGACACAAACTGTAAGAAAATGGTTGCAAATTTTATAACAAAGAGTTAAAGCCCAAAATATTGTTATCAATCAGTAAGAAATCTACCCTCCCGAAAAATAAAAGACACGAGAAAACAAAAAGTAGGAATGGGGAAAAACATAAAAGTTACTCAACTCACAGTATTTAACGCGTTCAAATTAAAACAATAAACTCTTTTTTTTTCCCCAGCCTATTGGATTGGCATACATTCCAAAGAGTATTGCCCATTATTAGACTTAATGTAGAGAAGAGGGGCAGCTCATAGCTTGCTGGTGAAATATAAATTGGTAAATTCTTCTTAGAGGAAAATATATTTCAAACGCCTTAAAAATGAGTATGCCTTTGTACCCAGCATTTACACTGCTAAGAATTAATTCTAAGAAAAGCTGGACAAGTGTGCAGAGATTTCTACAAGGATACTGTATTAATTTCCTAGAGCAGCTGAGTGGCCTGTATAAACAGAAATTTGTCATCTCACAATCGTGGTGGCTGGGAGCCTGTAATCAGGATGTCAGCCATGTTGATTCCGTCTGAGGCTCTGAGGGAGACTATTCCATGCCTCTCTCCCAGCTGGTGACGGCCGGCACTCGCTCAGATGTCTGTTGTAACATGCTGTCTTCCATGTGTCTCTGTGTCTCTTCCCTTCTTATAAGGACCCCAATCATTATAGATTAGGACGCACCCTACTCCAGTATGACCTCATGTTAACCTAACTGGTAACATCTGCAAAGAACCTATTTCCAAACTAGCTCACATTCACAGGTATTGAGGGTTAGGACTTCAACATTTATGTTGGGGGGACGTAATTCAATCCATAACAGATATTTATCACAGTATCATATATAATGGAAATTGGAAAAAGCTGAAAAGTCCCATGGCGGTGGAGTGTCTAAACAAATAATAGTGCATTTAGAAGGGGGCACGATGCAAGTGTTAAACCACGTGTTCTACTCGTACGTTCATTGCTCGGAACATGTTTCATGATAAGTTAAGTGCAAAAAGCAAGTTTGAAAACAATGTGTATATTGAGATTCTAATTCCCTTGTTTTTTTACACATATGTCTACTCATAGTAGAATATAGTAAAAGTAGAAAAGGTTATTTGTTCACTAAAAGTGAAAGCAATTATCTCAAGGGTAGTATTACAAATTCTCTTTTTATTTTCTTTTTAGAATTTTTATGTTTCTACAGTGAGGAACTATTACATTTGTAATCAGGGACAAGGAGAGGGAGATATCTAAAAATGACGATTTAAAATTTTCTTCATCTTTTGATAGGATATAAATGTCTTAATTAGCTGTGATGAAAATAAAAATATCTAGGCATTTATTTAACAACAGTCCTGTCGGGAAGCCCTTATGACAAGAACAAAAGTCAAAGTGGCTGAAATGAGAGAAACCAGACTGAAATTGTAACCCACCAGAGTGACTGAGGCTGGATTCTCCACATCACAGCAAGACTGCAGTCCCCTTCAGTACAGAGGTGTGCAGCTGGGCTGACAGGCAGATGCAGAACGGGAAATCCTTGGAGCGGCTGTCTTTAATAACTTCCTTTGTCATCTGCTGCCCCAACTCTGATCAAAAAGGGCAGTGACTCCCTTCAGTTAACCTTCTATTCCAATATTTTTTAAAAGTAAAATCTTCCCTGTAGGATTTTCACCCAGTAAGAACACTGCAAGGCTGGACTTATACGACAATAGAGCGATTCATTTGCATTTCACACCTGAGGCTTTGCAGATATAAGCAAATTCTAACTCTTCCCTGCTTTGATCTACAAGCCCTATCCCTATCCCATGAGTCCACCACACCACGCATCTTTTCCCAGGAGCAGAGAAGTGACCAGAATCAATCCCCAACCGACTAAAATCTCACTCAAATTCTGTCACCCTATGGCTCACCCATTTTCAAAGACTTGCAAAGCTCCATCTCAGAAGCACAGACGTCTGTGGGACCTTGATCCCGAAGGCTCTCCTGGGTGTCAGGCAGCCAGCACAGAACAGAGTTCACCATCATATGCTCAGGAGTAAGGCAGACTTGTTGCGGCTCTGCCACCCAGGAGCTATAGGTCCTTAGTAAACTCCTTCACCTCTCTAAGCCTCAGTTTCCTCATCTGTACTACGGGAATGAGCATAAGAATCCCTACCTTTCAGGCTTGTTGTGAGGATATGTGAATAGCATGTGTCTAGTACGCAGCCCTCAGTAAAAGAATTACTTGCATTTTATTTTTCTTAACAGTATCTTTTTTTTCCTAAATCCTCATCAGATAGTTCATTTAATAATGTTAACTACTGTTCATTTTAATTTCCAGGAAAGTTGTTACTCTATGGTACAGACACATGTATCACTTTGAATTTCTCTTTTTGTACCAGCTGCCTAAAAAATAATAGCTAAAGTTATTAAAGACACAATTAAACCCACTTGCGATACAATGCTTCAGTGAACCTGCCTATGAAATTCGTTAGAAATATTTTAGTATTTCTATGCTCACGGACCTCGGTCTAACTCCGTAACATACTCAGAAAATCACAGTAAGCATGCTCTTTGTAGAATATGTCCCGAATGACAGACAAAAGTCACAATATCTAACCTGGCCTGTCATAAGTGCAGAGGAGCTGAAGTCCCTGTAAAATTATCAGTTCCAACCTCACCCCCCCTCAGATGACAAGCCTGCCACCCTTCATGGGAACTTCAGTATGAAGCATTTTGTGAGTCAAGAGGCAGACGACATCATACTTCAAATGGATTTCGGCCTCCAACTAACTGACTTGTTAGTTGTGCTAATGTATGCATGTTCTCTGCCTTTGTGTGTGCCTTTCAACAGATAACGTGGAACAAGTGATGTAAGTCTAGAGAGAAAAGAACCCAGCGGTTTCTATAAGCCTCTTTTCTACAGGAAGCCGGATTAGACTTCCAAAACAGCTTAGACAATTGTAGTGTATCTCCCAAACATTTTGTTTCTGTAGCAAATGCGTTGCCTCTCAAAAGACGGCCTCTTTGTTAGGCATTAGCCCAAGGGGCATCTTCAACCTTTCCATTTAGCGAGCCAACTTGGAGGGGAGGGGACGGATGCCCCAGCGGTGTGGTCCCCGGTCGTTCTGTCCGGGAGTGAAGCGTGCAGAGCGGAGCCTCCCTCCTGACCTGACCACCTCCTCTGTCGTCCTCAGGTGCCGCTGGCGGCCAGCAGGGCTTCCTGGGCTGTATCCGCTCCCTGCGGATGAACGGGGTGACGCTGGACCTGGAGGAGAGGGCCAAGGTCACCTCTGGCTTCGTGTCCGGCTGCTCGGGGCACTGCACCAGCTACGGGGCCAACTGTGAGCACGGCGGCCGGTGTGTGGAGAGGTACCATGGTTACTCCTGCGACTGCACCCACACGGCCTACGAGGGCACCTTCTGCAACAGAGGTAGGCAGGCCGGACTCCAGAGCCCAGACCGTCTGTGTGATGGGGCTTCACCTGCACACAGGTGTTTCATCTGCAGACAGGTGTGTTTCATCTGCACACAGGTGTGCTTTGCCCGTGCACAAGTGTGCTTCATCTGCACACAGGTGTGCTTCACCTGCACACAGGAGTGTTTCACCGGCACACAGGTGTGTTTCACCCATGCACAGGTGTGCTTCACCCGCACACAGGAGTGTTTTGCCTGCACGCAGGTGTTTCATCTGCACACAGGTGTGCTTCACCCATGCACAGGTGTGCTTCATTGTGCGGGTCAGGCAATCGGAATTCTGTCTCCATAGGTAGCAAGTTTCCTAAATTAGTGTGTAACCTTTGTAGTTTATTCAGATGAGAGACGCTCTGAGTGTGGAGCAGAACGGCCCCCAGATTCCAGCAAGCTGGACACCGACTGGAGCATCACACCTTGGTGGGGTGACAGAGGCGGGCTACACACTGGGTCTCCCCCGTGACCACAGTGACTCGGCCACCTTGCCAGGGGCCTGGATCAGTGGATCGCTGGGGTGTGCTCGGGGTGGGACAGCACCAGATGACACTGTCAGAGGGGGTGACACCAAAATGACCATCTGTAAAATTTTTGTGCAGTGTTCCAGCAGAAATTTATTATTTTTTATAAAAATATCCCTGTAGTTAGTTATAACAACAAAAGAAATTTTCATAAGCCCAGCTTACATGTATCAGTATACCTACAAGGCTAAAACTCCATGCTAATTTACTTTTTGGACCTTCTAATGTGTTCTGGTCAGAGTGTCATTATTGCCCAATTACAACGATGCTTCCAATCACGTGGTTTCATCTGCATGCACTACAAGCAGGCACTATTGTTTTTGTTGCTGCCGATCTTTTTATAGTCACTGATTTTGTCACGTCTTCTGGTGTTTTAGCTACAAAATTGTGATAATTAGCATGGTGGGGTGACACCGACCCTAGTGGCGCCCCTGACCGGGATACCCTCCCAGCTCCGAGAGCCTCCGGCTGCCAGCTGTTGTCATCATCATTATTCTCACCCTCATCCTGGCATCTCTGGGCCTGGCTCTCAGCCTCAGCTAAACAGCAACCATTGAATCAGCTCCACCTCATGGTGACCCCGTGTGTGTCAGAGTAGAACTGTGATCCACAGGATTTTCATGGCTAATTTTTCAGAAGTAGATAGCCAGGCCTTTCTTCCAAGGTGCCTCTGAGTGGACTCAACCTTTTGGTTAGCATCCAAGTGTGTTGACGGGTTGCACCACCCAGGGATGCTGAAATGCCACGAATGACTGGTCGGCTCAGAGCATCTGTTATCACTGGGTTATTTCAGCCTTGAATGATTCCTTCAATCCCGACAAATTCTGCAGGCCAATCAGCTGCACACGAGAGCCCAGCACGTGTCATGTGATCATGTGTGTGCACCCCATGGTCCTGCATGGACCATGCACGCTCATCGGCTGGCCCTCACTCAGCTGGTGGCGGTGTGGTGGGTCATCTGCCCACAGAAGGTGTGCAGTGGGGAGCTGGCACTGTTCCTGAGCTACCATGGAAAGGTGTGTCAACCACTCTTCTTTCTCAATGATTGCATGGTGTTTGGCGAAGGTTCCTGTAAATGGTCAGTGCATCTCTTAATAAGCAGCTTTACATAAGTAGCCCATTCATACTGCCCTGAATACATGGAGGGCTGTTTATGCAGCATTGTTCACACACAGGAGGAATTGTTCCATAGAGTTATATGATCTCTGGGCTGCTGTGGGAGTCACAGCAATGGGGGCATACAGATTAGGTCAGACAGTGTGAGGAAGAAGATGGTGTGAGGGAGACTGATGGTGTGAGGGAGACAGACAGTGAGGGAGACAGAGTGAGGGAGACAGATGGTGTGAGGGAGACAGA